GATTTCGGAATATAGAGTGGGTCATGCGAGCACTGAGTAATTGATTTCGGAATTCACAGTGGGGCCTCAGTCATCTACCATTGATCAAAATCTTGTTTGCGCGCCAGTTCCGCACCAGGACTTGCAATCGGATTCTCGTCATTCTTTTTGCATAAGCCTTTGTTTTCCCGGCCAAAATCGCAGGCCAGTGTCATACCCTATATGTAACCACTGCCCGAGTCTTGTTCAGGGGGTTGAGGTGTTTCCTGCTTTAAAAGTGGGCCAACGGGTTGCTTTCCGTACCCATCATACCTCATATCTTGATTTACGCAACATTCAACCCACCAAGGTCGAAACAACAACTACTGGTTCTTTTCCTCTGGTCTGCTAGTACTTGTCATCCTGCAGGCTTCCACCCCTCATGATCCCTCACTTCAACCCCATTGTGATGTTCATTCTGTAGAATTTGTAGGATGAACCAAGAGGGAGAAGAATAAAACGATAATTTATTGGCAAGCTCTCGAGGCCTTTTATACCTTCGAGAACAATGTACATAAATAAGAGCAAAGTACAATGAAGAACAATGGGTTTCAGACCAGCTGAAACCATGGTTCCATAGAAACACTACGTGGTGTTTCCACTTGCTGTGCATTGCCACAGTTTCAACAGTTGCACTGTTTCAACTAATGTTGTCAAAACTCGAAAAGTCGAGTCACTACTTGCCAAGTCGACTTGATTTGAAGGTCGACTCAACTTGACTCGACTTCGCTCAGTGAAGTCACTTGGAGTGACTTCAAGTCGACTCGAGTGGGCCAAGTCGAGGGCAGTATTTGATAAATTGGCTAAAACAACCACCATGTCAAATAGGAATGCTATATGAGTGCATATATCTTGAACTTAATGAGAGTTGACATAAAATAAATAAATCACATTTATTTTGTGGTGATCCCCAGTCCCCATCGTGATTATGATGCATTTCTAACCTTTCAATATAGCATAATATAGTTTTCTGATATTTTTCTAGGTTTAATCGCGCTCAGAAACTGGATAGAAACGCAAAATGAAGCCACGGTGACATGGGTGTCATACATCAGTCATATATGTCATGTCATGTCAAACTCGTGACATTCGCCGGAGAGAAATTTTCGAAATTAATTCCAATTGTTGTTAATCATGAAAAGGAACATGCGGTAAAAATCACCGACTCAAGTCACTCAAGTTGACTCGAGTCGACTTCCTTCGACTCACAGGTCATATCAAGTCACACTCGTGACTCGACTTCGACTCGGGTCAAGTCGACTTGGGAATACTGAGTCGCAAGTATTGACATTAGTTTCAACGTAGGCTTGCTGTGCTATTCCAACACATTCTCTGCTTAATTTGTACCTCCAGGATCACGTACCCCTGTACCGCTCTTGTCTAACCAGCAGCCTTTAGTAATTTATGTGTTTGAATAATTTCTGTCCTTCTGGTCTCCAGTAGCTAAATCAAAGTTGCCAACTCCGGAATATCCATCCGCAAGGGCACGTGTGGTCACTGCATGTTCACTCTCATGCCCTTTGTTAATCTAATAATCTTGGAACATGAACTGTCAAGACTCGACTCAAGAGCAGGCACCACATTTACGGGTTTGAGGCTTGCTTATATGAGTTATTTCATGTATCCTGCAGTTATGCAAATAGATTTAGTTCAATCCTATCTCCTGTATTAGACAAATGGTCAACTTCTGTTGGCTTCGTGGCACTCTTGTGGATCCTCGTAACTCGTCCACATCTATTACCTCATCTATTACCGCATTTTGAAGTTCATTCTATTTCAGAGGCAGGCAACTTGAATAGTTTGGGGTGATTTGAGTATATTTCGTGAGCTCAAGTTCGGTGAAGGGATCTTATGAAAGCAAATCAGTGTACATCAATGGGACTATATGAGTAGAATACCCTCGTTTACAAATTCACTCTCATTGAGATGCCGAGACGTTCACAGAGCTGTGCTGAGCTTTAAGACTCACCTGTGGTCTGTCAATGACAAATTGATTATCCAAGACATCCTTGGAAATAGAACCGGAGAAAAGACAAGTGAGCCCAAAGTATTTTACTGAGACTTCGAGTTATCGTCCGATAACAATGAGTAATCCTCAGCTTGGGACACTTGGGACATCTCAAGGCATCAGGTGTTCCATCTACATCTACTCCTTTGTCCACCATCGAGTGTTTCCTTTTCCCTCCTTTTCTGGTGGATGTCCATATTTTCATGATGTCTGATCTTTACCTCCATTGAACTATTCAGGGTCATCCCCGACCGGCTCTCCCTGCATCCCCTCTGAATCCAATCCTGGATAACTGAGACAATGCTGGCATAACTGAGTCCCCATTACCTGTGGCTTGACTATTTTTTAGGTACTGCTGCGCCCAGTTCCCGGGGCTTTCACTTCATTGCTCTGCAAAGACAGGCCCAGGGCTGCTGACAGCATACTGTTGAACATCCAGCCAATGTCTTCGTAAATGATGTCTGCCCTTTGGATTCTGCTGATTGGACTCAGTTTTATACTTCAACACTGTAGCGTTAATTGCTCTGTGTCTGATTTGAATTTTGACATGCCGACATCGGAGTTTTAATCCAGCGGCTGGCACACACCAGACTGGGGGTTCCATTGTTGCCCATTTTAAGTACCCAATTGGATGGTGTGAATCCTACTACTTCGCCTCCACATATTTGCTAGAACTCTCTTCTCTAGGATCCCCAGCTACTAGTTAGTCGGCAATTTGGGAAGTCCGGCGGAGCTTGAATATTTGGCAAATATTCGAGTCATTGCCAAGGATATTGTTCTCATTCTCAGTTAGTGGGCTCTGCCAAAAAGCGTGCTATTGCTGTTATATGAAGAGCTAAGGGTGCTGGTTGCACAGAAAAGGACCACTGTCGACAGTGATGGGACAACGCGACGAGAATGCTTGGTCTTGTTGATGCATTGATCGGACCGGTCGCGAACCAATTTCGCATCTGTGAGCTCAATTTTGACAATAATAATACTTTGAATAGACAAACTTACATAGTGTAGGACATAATGGGGGGGGTGCCCAAATTTTCATAGACGTTCGGGGCATTCTGGATGGTGTAATAAAAAGTTGAGAATTCAAGGCGACCAAAACCATTGATCGCTCAGCATTCCCCATTTGGGGGCCTTGTCAAGGAGGTCTGTGTCGCACGGCAATTGCCACTCTCCTCTTGAGTTAGGTGGGCAAAGAGGGCGATTCGAAGAAGCACGGGTGCAAGCAAGACGTGTCAACCGGACCGCAGGGCCGGAGGAAACCCGATCTCCTCCGATCTTTTCCTGTTACTCAACCTATTAACCTATTAACCAACGCACATTGCATGCGATGCTCTCAATGCTCAATTGAGAAGTTCTTCTTCTGTCAATTCTCCTCACGCCCTGAAATCCATCTACGGTTGATCACTCAGTGCACCATCATAGCAAAAATGGAAATCGCTGCCCTGCTACGATTTCCATCGCCCATCATCCTGGTGTGCGGTGATAAGCCGCAAAATTTACCAACAATGGAATTACCAAATAATTACATTCTGCGCGCATCCAAGGACTGACATGAGCTCCGAGTGTTCAGTTAAAATGGCAACAGAACATAAACATAGCCACTTACCAAGGAGATAACAAATATCCACTCTGTGAAGCTTGGTTGATGTCCCAACGATTACTACGGTGTATAACACCGCCCTGTTTGGTTGAGTTTTGATGATGTCCGCGACATGATCGATCACGTGATCTGGTTGTGAAGTACCCGAGTAGCGGTTCTCGCCGAAGTAGGTTCGATCGGCTTACTCCGATGGATGACTAAATATAGTTTTCTGACAAAGTAGACCGTACAGAAGTAACCATAACTCCAACCCAGGAGTTATGGGTATCAAATTAAAGATATGAGTGAGCGTATAATTATCCGTGTCCTCCGGACACAGCGGGCAGAGCATAGTAAGTACAGAGGAAGTTTAGCTCGTTCAACAGGAGTTAAATCATACCCAATCGCAACAGTAAGGGGACGGTTGCTTGCAATCGGTAACCTATTTGTCAGAATTAAACATATAGAGCCTACGATCAGCCAATGGGAATAATATCCCGATACCAGATGACCTACCGGATACCTGTATATACCCGCGGTAGTATAATCAAGCATTGTAATCATATATATTTTGTAGTATAAAAGCAGGACGTTCTGAAGGGAACAGCACTGAATCTTGACCCAAGCTAGTGCGGAAGGCTAACACCATTGCCCCTTCCCACGCGCGCAACAGGTCTCGGTTGAGGGCTTTACTCTGAGGACTCTGCTATTCTGATAGTGGTCCCGTGAAATAAAGTTTCTTTTGATTGCCAAAGTTGTGAATTAAGTTTGAGTTTGAAAAGAGCCATGTGTCCGTTGTCTTGAGATCAGAGAAAGTGTTACTTGGGATTTGTGATTTGAGACTGTTGAACCGTGGGACTTGTGTCCAAAAACTCGAACTTCGGTTCAAACAACTTGCCGACCTTCAAGCCGTTACCTGCATTATAGCTGAGAAGCTTAAAATCTAACTATAAACCACTTGGTTTCAATCTTGACCTGGTCAAATTGTTACTTGAACCAAGTGCCCGTTGAGAAAGTTCCTCTTTGAGTAGCTTCTCGCAGTACAGAGTCAATTAAAGAGATCCCGACTTAGAGCTCCTTAGACCTATACTTGTGTCTAAAAAGACCCTAACTCGTCAGACAACCATTGGGGCAATTAAAGAGGTGTTTAGTGTTTGAGATCTAGTATTTGAGTAGTTGAAGTTGGACTTTCTCGCTCATTTGAGTTGTGTCCAATCTCAGTCTCTCGAAAGTTAGATTTTGTTCATTTTGCATTTGCAGCCTTTGACTCTGAGCAACCGTTTCAGTGGTGTGAGCCATCACATTGTGATAGCTCCCGACGTGACCTCAAAACACCGAACTCCGAGAACAATGCCTTAAGCCATCGACGTAAAAATGATATCCGGACCCAACTAGTGGCTTGATGGAGAATCGACCTCTGAACCTTCCATCAACTGATATGCAAATGCTATAGGTACATGGAATGCGTTACCATTACGCCAACAAGCCATTCGGGAATCGAACTCAAGACCACCAAGGACCGACTCCGAGTTAAAAATGTTATCCGGACCCAATCCATGGCTTGATGGAGAATCGAACTCCGGACTTTCCGTCAACCTATATCCAAATGCTGCAGATCCACGGAGCGCGTTACCACTACGCTAACAAGCCATTCAAGAAGTTGAACTCGATGACCACCATGGACCAGCATAAAAATTATATCCCGACCCTATGATGGCTTGACAGAGAATCGAACTCCGGACTTTCCGTTGAATGATATGGGAACGTTCAATAGGTACACGGAGCGCGTTACCGCTGAAACGGTGCACCAACGTATAGGCTGCAAAATGTAGCTAGATATAGATAGAAAACTCCGAGGAGAAATCACACTAAAACCAACCAACACACACAACACACTATACACAACCAATACGATGTGCTAATAATTGAGTTCGGGTCACCCTGAAGTATACAGGTAAGATTGATCCTTCTCTCGTGTAGTTTGAACAATATCAACTCTAAGAAAGCCTTATTAGGACTTCCGCGGAGCGCAGTAGTTATAAATAACCACTAAAAGTCGACCACTCTGATACCGCGGAGGGTATTTTCGGGTGTATGGAAATATGAAAGTGTCCTCGGACTACCAACTTATGGGTCCTCGGGATCTCTGCACAATTGTACGACCGTCCTACTAAGGCGGGGAGCGATTCCAATACAAAGGCAAACTGCGACCGTCCTGCTCAACGGGGACGATTCCAACAGTCACTCGGATACGACCGCCCTGCTATACGGGAGCGATTCCAATACCCTGGCTACGACCGTCCTACTAAAGCGGGGAGCGATTCCAATAGCTGACCTTGCCACTTAACAAGGTTCTTTTAACGGTTTCTCAACTCCGCGGAGCGAAGCGAGGTGTAGAAGGCTTAAGATGAACTTAAAGCTTTTTAGAGCCAACAAATATCAAAGCTTCAATTTAATGAATCTACACAAAGAGATGTTTTATATCACAAATCTCCGCGCTGATACAGAGGACACCGAGGCCGGTTAATGGCAGGTGCCGTTCGACTACTGTCTGGGCACCTCCGCGGGCAAGGATGAACTCCTGTACTGCGGGTTTTCCGTGGGCTTTTATACTACTTTCTAAATAAATTACAAACAACAGATGTGTAACAGGAAATAAGAGAGACTGAGTAATACGGAGCGAAATAGGAAGAAACGCGCGGCCAAGGCCTCTCTAGTTTGGTGGGTCGGCAGTCGAGAGTCATGTTGAATGACTCCGCGGACCCGTTTTGGGTATATTTGAAATTCCCGCGGAGGAGCCGAACACATTCGTGTCCATGGCCGCCCCGCGGAAGGGTACGTCCTGCGCCGGCATGGTTGATAATCCCAGCCATTGTGTCATCTCCCAGCGAGTAAGCTGGTACGGTATTTGTCCTACTGTGCCGTGTGTACAGCTCAGCTTTGGCCAACGGTGCCTGTCCGATCCCTCGGATCAGCGATCGCTGCAATGCTCTTGTTTGGTCTCCCGCGGGCGCGTCGTGTCCGTCACATGGGTCTATTTCCAGAGTACTGAGTCCGCGGAAACTCTCCGCGGGCTCTCACTCGTCAACTTTGGCAGTCCGCGGGGCCTTCGCCCCTTGGTTTGTCAGGTATCTAGTCAGAGTCCGCTTCCGCGGACTCGACAATATCACTCCGCGGACTGGTCAGTCCAGTGCTTTCGGACACTACTAGTCCACAACTGTTCGTCTTAGGCTTTTAATGTTTAATCTCCTTGGTATGGCATCTAGCCAACAGGGCAAGCCATATCCCGGAAATACAAGAATAACTCTGTCTGTGCACGTATACGCTCCGCGGAGCGCTATGCTGACCCTCAATGGTAAAAGGACCGAGCCTTAGCGCGTCCACAACTGGATACATGCTCTGGCATCATCAATACACAGCTAGCAGCTCGGAGCTCACTCTAACTCTAATTGTATATCACCGGGCAGGGGCCCCGCGGAGTCGTAATACACCGCTAAAAGAACGAATTTACGGCTGGTTGTATCCAGGCCGTATCACCGCTACGCCACCAAGGCATGAACCGAGCTACCAAAAAGTCAATGAGACCATTGCCGTGAAAAAGAATGGTTATTGTCAAGGCTTGACGGAGAATCGAACTCCGGACTTTCCGTTAAACAATATGGGAACGTTCCACAAGTACACAGAGTGCGTTACCGCTACGCCAGCAAGCCATACGAGTAGAACGACCAGCCAAGATGATAGTAGTGAAAAAGAAGGGTTTCCGTCGAACGGTGAAACGGTGCACCAAAGTATAGGCTGAAATGCAGTAAGGTCCTCAGATAGATGCCAACGAACAGCAACACACTAAATCACTACCACACACTACACACACAACACACAACCAATACGAAGTGCGAGATAATTGAGTTCGGGTCACCCTGCAGTATACAGGTAAGATGGAACTTCGTGGGACGGGATCAACTCAAAGAAGGATCGATAGAACCCCTAGGAGCCTACAGTAGTTTGAAAACCACTAAAAGTGCACAGCTCTGACACAAGGTATCGGAGTTTAGGTAGATGAAAGCTTGCTCTGGGAACCACAGTAGGTTCGCGAACTGTGCGCAGCTACGACCAGCCTACTAAACGGGGCTGATTCCAATAGCGGACACGACTACGACCGTTCTACTAAGGCGGGAACGATTCCAATAGCCCAACTAACGAACTACGACCGGCCTACTATGCGTGGACGATTCCAATAGAACACTAGCCTGCCTCGTGCAACTTTAACAGAGGACTTTCGCGAACTCGCCGTGACCCTCCACGAGACGAGGTTGAAGTGATTGGCTTAGATGATCCTTTAAAGCTTATGGAGCCAACAAAATCAAAGCTTCTGTATTAATGAATCTACACAAGAGAAATGTTTTATATCACAAATCTCCGCACAGATACAGAGGACACCAACGCCTTTGACAGGTGGCTTCGACTTCCGTCTAAGCGCAACCAAGGGGGCAAGGATGAACTAGAAATCCATCTAGAAACACCGAGGGTGAGCTTCTGTAAGGCGGGTTCTACGTGGTCTTTTATGTGTTTTCGATAAATACATGACAGATGACTATGAATAAGAAAGAATAAGAGAAAATGAGTAAACTGAGAGCTTCGGAACGGAATAGGAATAGTGACGCGGCCTTCTGGTGGTGGTGGGATAGGTGCCCGGCATCAGACAGTCATCAGGAATGACTTCGCGAACCGTTCTAGGGATATTTGAAATGTTTCAGCACAGGCCAAAGGGTTTCGCGACCCGGCCTGCTGCCTTGGCATACACGTCCCACATCGGCATGGTTGATAATCCACTGCTATGTGTCTGCCCTGCTCTCGTAAGAGCGGTAAATAGTCCGTTCAGCCGTTCGCGAACGCGAGGCCCTTCGGCTTCGGCTCAAGAATACTCCAATCACCAATATGCTTCCACTTTGGCAGTATTTGGTCCTCGCGACCGCATCGCGATCATCACATGTGGTCCCCTAGACCCAGGGCTGGCTATTGCTTGCACCAACTTTGTCCAGGCACCAATAGTCAGAGGTTTGCGAACATTTAACCTGGTTCGCGAACTCGTTCCTTTGCCCTTTCTGTCATAAGTCCGATGAAAGTGAGGTTCGCGAATATTAATGTTTGTTCGCGAACTCGTTCTGCAGCCCTCCCGCATGGAAGTGGTGTTCGCGAACTGTTTCCTGCCCTTGTCTGGTGCAGTACAATCCACGAAGGGTGTCAAGGCTTTTGTTATATCTCCTGGGTATGGTATCTAGCCTGCAGGGCAAGCCGCTTCCCGGATCACAGGAAACAACTCTGTCTGACGGAGTTCGCGAACACTTCTAGGATCATGAAGCGGATCCCCCATGTTTATAAGGACCGCACTTCTATGTCTCCCCAGTGCGTGCTAACTCCTCTAGCATCATTAATACACAGTCGGCAGTTCGGAGCTCACTCCGGCTCTAATTGTATACCACCGAACAGAGGTTCTTAGAATAGTGCTAAGAATCGCGAAAATGCGTGATTACACGGGTGGTTCAAAACCAGTCGTATCAACGGCTTGACGGAGAATTGAACTCCGGACTCTCCGCAACCAATCGATACAAAAATATGCATTCGGAGTGCGTTACCATTACGCCACCAAGCCGTAGGAATCGAACGACCAGCCAAAACTATCACCATGAAAAAGAAGGGTTTTCTTCATAATGGCTCAATGGAGAATCAAACTCCAAACTCTCCATAATGCATACTGTGAACTACATTGTAATGCGGAGTGCAATACCATTACGCCACTGAACCGTCCGAAAAACGTGCCCCGACTTTCCGCTCAATGGACAAAAAGGAACAAATGGCCCGTCGGAGATTCGAACTCCGGTCCCTCCATTAATTCAGTTTCCCACCAGTTACGTGAACAGAGTGTGTTACCACTATGCCATCGGACCATGTGTGCGACCGATACGGAGCTCTGGTAGGAGGCGCACGAAAAAGAAATGGAAAAGAGGGATGGCTCGATGGAGGATTGAACTCCGGACTTCCTGCAAAGACGCGCTTGTGCAAGAACCATGGCAGGATGCGTTACAGTTATGCCATCGAGTCGTGTATGCCAAAACAACCTGAAAAGATGAGATGAGAACTCCGGGTAGTCAAAAAGGTGGGTAGCATAGGGAAAAGGCTCGACAGAGGATCGAACTCCGGACTCTCCGTAAGTCAAACACTGGGGTGAAAGGATACGGAGTACGTTTTCCCACTACACTATCGAGCCGTTGCAGGCGGAAGCTGGATAGGAGGAGAGTTAGGACCGGACATCGAGTATCTGAAGACAGGGCCAACAAGTCTGGGTTGCGGAATCGGTGCCTGACTGAAGATGGTGTGGGTATGGGTTCACGGAGTTCAGGAATGAGCCACAAGCCAACTCCGGGCAGAGGAGCGTGCGAGCAAGCAGGAATGGGACACAAAGGAACAACTCCAGCACAGCCTTGGGCTGG